TTGGGCAGCGCAGGAGGAATATCATTTTTCTTTTCTTATTAATTTTTATTTTGAGAAGCAAGAACAGCGTTAATCGCGTCTTTCATATTTTTCTTCTTTAATGAAACAAAGTCCACAGAGGGGAGGAAAGGAATCCCAAGTTGTGTAGAATCCCCGGTCATTAAATGTATTCGGTTTCTGGAAGCATCCCAAGTCAGTACATTGAAGCAGAACAGAGACAATTTTCCATCTAATCCAATAAGACCGTGCCACTGACACCGCGGCATTTCCATTTACCATTTTTAACCCTTTTTTGTGGGGTATTACGAATCGAAAAAGAAACGCATCGCTGGCCCTGGCCAAAGGAGCAATCGTTATCCTGGTGCCCAGCGAAATAATAAAAGCAACGAAGCCGCGGCGCACTTAATTAGAAAACGTTTAATGCCCCTTCTGCCATATCCCTGTGGCACTCGGACTCCTTCAACCGGAAGCCATTTCGGTCCAGGCCCAGAAGAGTTGGCATTGGTATGCGACAGTGGCTCCTTCTCTAGAGAGGCGAGGAAGGACAATCTAATTTTCCAACTAATTTAGTTAGAGTGCTCAATAGTTGAGTTATGTATCTGGCGCAGGACATTGATTAGAAATAAAGTTTGCCCGAGATGAGAGACATTTCTGCTGCCGCTCCCATCGTTTTTCCAATGAAATTAAGAAATAAAGTTCTGAAAAGTTTTATCGACAGAAGATGGAACGAAGAGTAAGTGAAAATGATACTTTTCTGCACAGATGAATGCAATTAAAAACTTTGAATGCGATTGGAACTGCTCCAGGGAAGGAGAGCCATCCTAATATATTCAATCAGTTGGACTTTGTGCATCCCATCCCCAAAAGATATATATCGGGGAATTTTGAACAGAACAAGCGTGTCAAACCGCAAAAAATGCGTCGCATGAATATATTAACTCTGTGACAAAGGCGCAACTTTGCTTTGGGGGTGAATTCTGGGATACAGATACAGATACAGATACATTAAGTGCCAACAATACGATGAAGCGCAAGAAAAATTAAAAGGGTCACTTTACAAGGACTTAAAATACAAAAAACAAGCACAAAAACAACACAAAAGGAAATGAGATGAAAAGTATGGAAAATAAATTCATATTTGAGACCATCGAGGGTGGGAGGCGGACAACAGGATGTTTTAAAGGACGAGGGACGCCCGCTATGTTTGCCGATGATAAGGAGACTTTGCTTGTCTTTTGGTTTGCGCTCATTGGACACAGATTCTGGAAAGGTTTTTCCGGGGAGGGTGGGTAGGAAAATATTTACAAACATAATCGCTGAAAAATTAAGTTTCTGAAATTGCTTTTTTTCCAGCTTATTACGGCATATTGCAGGAAATTTATCAACGTGACGGCATATAAAAACAGTGATTTCTTACCCGGAAGTGCGAGTATCTAAGGAAAATGGCTAAGACAGTAAAAAAGGGCACGAAACACAATTAAAACGAAGGCGGTACGTGATCGAAAGAGGTCAAACCCCAGAGCCAGATTAAGCTGTGAGCTTAGCATACTTAAGTGGCCACGGGCCTGGGCTCAGAATAAGGGAAAAAATATAGCAAATACCGTGCCCGGTTAAACCAATGAAAAAGGTCTCTAATTGAGTAAACGCGAGCGGAAAAAACAGGAATTAAAATTGGAAAAACGATAGAGATATACAATGGAAAAGGGAACTCGAGCTGAGGTTTGTTTTCCATTCCTAAGCTTATTTTTCCGAGCCGCTTTCGCCGAAGTGGCATAAGATGCATCAACGGCGGACCAAAAAGGAATCAAAATACAGAAAAGCAAAGGAATTAAAAATGTGAATGGTTGAGCGAGCGGGCTGGGGAACAAAGCGAAAGGAATAGGAGCAGGAGCAGGAGCAGGAGCCGGAGCAGCGACCCGCAGCGCATAAGGAGAACATTAAAAATGTTGGGCAGCTTTCGGCTCTTAATCCTTTTGGCAGCCAACCTCATTATGCACGCCCAGTGGCAGTGGCCGGGATGCTTTTAATGACCCAAATCCGGCCAGGACCTTTGCCGGCCCGGGCTGCCCCAAAGGCGGACAGCATCCATTTTTTGATTAATTATGTGCCGAGAGTGAATGAGTTCTCCTCCTCCATCTCCGCCGCGAGTAATTCAGGTAATCTGTGCATTGTCTATTTTGACATTTGCCCTGGCGCATCCTTGATATTTTTTGTTAGAATGAAAGCCCAAGGTGTGTGTGCCTCCGACCCCCGGCGTTCATGCTAAATTTATCAAATGCGTAATGAGCGAACGTGAGCTGCATGCCATATGCTCTGCTCCCTCCCCCTCCCTTAGCTTTCACCAAGGACTCTCGGGCAATCGCTTTACTTTTTTTTTGGTTTGTTTTAGGGGGTTTTCGACCACTATTCGGAAGGTGGAGTGCTCAGCCGTCGGTCTGTTAATTACAACTTAAATTGACAGCAAAAATTGGACTGGAAAATTGTGGGTTTTCCATGCGGTCGGCATATTAAGCGCTTACATCGGGAGAGAGTGTGGAGGAGCATAATTTCCCTGGCCGGAGTAGACAAATGAAGACTTAAGACCTACTTAAGGCCAAGAGCAGTCGGGCGTGCAGCGTTCAAAACTCCTAAGCTGCGCCGGCAAAGTCCTTCCCGCCAACAAAGGCGGCACATAAAAATCCAGGAAAAAACAACAAATTAGCTAAGAAGACAGGGGAAGAGATGGGGTGATGGGTGTGCGGATGGATGGATGGATGGGCGGATGGGAGGGGAGAAGCATTTAACCCTAATTTGACACACACGCAACCTTGACGGCCGGGCAAAAAAAGGGGTGGTGAGCGGAAAGGGGATGCGGCGTCAGAGGGCAAGTCACAAATAAATACATTTACGCATATCAAGGGTAAAAATGAACACAATAAAAGGAGTTAAGTCTGACAGCGTTGGGAATTTCTTATACCCTTTAATGGGTAAGGAGAGAGGAGAAAGATTTTGGGAAGTGAAATAAAAGGTTCAAAGTTGATTTCTAAAATATAACATATAAAAAGGTAAATATCTTGTTAGACAATTTGATATTTGTTTGCTTTATAAATATAAAACTTTACATTTTCAGCCTCTTAAAGGACCTCTTGCTACCCCTTGCCACATGTGAGTAACTGAAAACGTATGCTAACTGCCGTTAAACGCGACTGAAGGGAAGACAACAATATCAATAAACACACACTCACACTGGCACACTCCCTGCAAAGGGGTAAACGAATGATGGGCCACGAGGAGGATGTGGCGACAGCGGAAACGGAAATCACAACAAAGTGCTGACATGTGCCGCGGTCGGCGGTGGGGGTTGCAGTTGGGCCTATGCGGTCTGTTAACACCCACATGTGTGCGTGTGTGTGTGTGGCGTCAAGTTCCTTTTCACGCGCAAATTGAGTGCTTAAGCGGTTTAGTTGGCACGTCTCCCGTACCGGAAGCGGAAACGCCGCATGGGAATGTGTATGCGCTGTTTGCCGTGGCGTCACTAAGCCGTCTCAGCATCCATCTTTCCGCTGGAGTCTCCAACTTCAGACCTAGGACTTCATATCCTGGCGATAAGCGAGTCTTGCATTCGCATTCGCGTTTATAATTCATGCAGATTCACTGCAAGTACAACAGAAAATTATTATTTATTGTCAGTTCCAAGTTCCGCTGCCGTTTTATGTGTGCCACTGCGATAAGAATGGGAAAACTCGGGGGGGAAATGGGAAAACAGAGGGCACACATTTGCATACGTTTTGGCCGGAAATAAAATCGCAAAGGGAACGACGCGTGCAAGCAGCATAAAGAAGGCAGCAGCTCGAATTGCCAGTTTTGGCGCATTTCGCCATAAACATAGCATACTTACAGGCGGACCGCAACAACAAAGATAAAGAGGCTACACATCTACATCTCATTCCGCGCCAAGGCTGCCTCATTTGTTGTTATTTATGCTGAGCCCTGCTGGTATTTGGAAATCCCCCCCTTAAGAGCCGCGGTCACATTTGCTTCTGCCTCGCCATTTTTTAGCACGGAAGTGGAGAGGCGGAAGAAGCCTGGTGGCAGCTGTGGTGGGAAAAAGCGAAAAATAATAATGAAAAATAATAATAAACATGGTTGGGCTACGGTTTTATTGCCGCTCAATTGATATCATGAAATTATGCCTTTGATTTTTATTGCCTTGCCGGAACATATGATGTTCCGCCGCCGCCTACATGTGTGCTTCCAAGAAGTCGTGTCTTGGGATTATTTTTAAGCTACTGCCACCGTCTACATATGTGGTCGCTGTAATTGCAATTTGAATTCAATTTGCTGGGGGTGAGTGGGGGAAAACTTTGACATAGTGTACGGGTAGCTTATCGTTTACGATCTAAAAAAAAAAAACACACACGGGAGAGAGAGCTTTCTTGGAAACCCGATACCCGACCCGAGACAGTGGCACATCTTTGTATCTCGTGGGGGTTGCTCGATTCCGCTGGCAACCGCAGGCCCTCAGGGGTATCTCAAAGCCACAAATTGGAAACTGTTTAGTTGGAACAACACTTTGATTTGTTTCCTCTCTATTAGAATGCTCAAATACATCTATTTTCTTTCAAGCTTAACCTCGAACTTAAGTCAAGTTTAGGTTTGCATTTAAATATTATTACAATTGATTTCAGGCCCAATCTAATCTCTTCACTCTCCTATCTATGAGCCGAATGCCCTTTGTAATTACCCATATTTACTCTATGGTTTCACTTTCGTTTGCTTTGCATCTTGTGAGTGCCCAATTTAGTATTGCTTTGACGTGAACTACAAAGGAACACTCGGGTTTATATATAGATACCTGAGAGCTAACTATTTTGACGGGGAATTGATGTCAGTGACACAGTCAAAATACGAAGCTAAAGACACCGAATCCCCATCCAAATCCGAAGCCAAAGCTCGGCTTTCCGAGTGGGCTCGCCAAATAAGACTATATATGAGAATTCTTCCTGAGATGAGTGAGCACGCTGCGCTTAGATTAGTTTAGTTTAGTTCGTTTACGGTCTTGTGCGACTCGAGATCGTCCCAGCAGCCCACTGTCTCGAAAACCGCGATCGAAACAAAACAAATCCGAGTAGTAATAGTAAAACACACTCGTAAGTTTGGCAAGGGCAAATAAATTACAAGAATTAGCCGGAAAGTGCGGATAGAGAAAGTTCAAGGGACGAAGTTCTGGTTGCTTCGTCCAAAAAATTGTCAAGAACGGCAGGCACACACAATCAAGATAAAGTTCAAGTGATAAGTTGAGCATAAATTTAAATATTCTAAGTGAATTGTGGCGACACATAAGCTCTGCATACATACAGACAGACACACACACAGTACGTCTACGGGTACACACATTAAATAATAGAACACAGGGCGAGGGACGGGGCCTGGGAAGATTCAGTTACTCGCAGAAACCCAAATCGGACTACTGACAATAATAATACGAGCAAGCGAGTCTGCGCTGCCGAGAAGATCTCTCTCTCTCTCTCTCTCTCCGACTAAACTAATTTGGCACCAACACTATGACGGCTGTGATAGCGACTATATCACATTGATACCCCTACCTAATCCCAAACTAAAACAATGAGCTTGCACATGTAGTGTTTGCCTCAGGGGAGGCAGGGATATAGACGTACATGTACGTGTCAGCGGTTATTATTTCCCTGGAAGTCGCGGCCAATGACGGTGCCGAGATTTACGTGCTCATCAATGTGCAAACCCGCGAATATCTGGCGCTATAAGATAATCCTGTCCGCTGCACATCTTCCGTCTGGAGAGCGCTCTTATCTCACACTTTTCCTGTCTATTTTATGATTTTAGCACCGAACTCAACCCGCAAACAAATCGTAAATCTCGCAGGCGACCACAGAAGCAGCATGAGCGGACGACAACGGGGCGGAGGAGTAAAAAACGAAGATTAGCTCAATGGCTCTTGGCTCTGGCGAGTGATAAGTCGGTCTGAGATAATATTTTAATAAAAAATATTTGGCACAAGCTGTGTGGGCACGTCACCCCTTCGGGCCAGAGCCGGCTGCTCCAAGACACAGTTAAGATCCGCCGCCACCAGAGCACATCATGCCACTCGATCCGCGCCCGGTCTCGCGTCAGGTTGTTGTCTAGATACGATCTTATCCTCGGAACCTCCGGAACCAAGCTAATTGCCATTTTGCGACACAAATCTGGCGAAGATTAAGAAACGTGCGCGTGTGAGTTGAGTGCCCCCCAAGAGAGGCCCATGTGCTAAGTGAGAACGCGCCCCGACTCGAGACGCAACTAGGATGGTGCAGAGCGGGAAACCCATCAGCCTGGGGCCCGAGGAGCAGGATGCGGAGGCCGGCCATCCGGAATCGCGAGAGGAATCCGATGCGGAGACTAGACTGCTGGATAATGGAAAAACCTATGACAAGGAACAGGAGGCGGGCATTAATCTGGGCGAGAGGAAACACTCCTTTCCCAAGAAAGCAAAGCCCAAGAAGAAGAAACAGAAGAGCGAACAGGATCGCGAAATGACTGCCGAAATCAACAAACTCCTGAATGAATCGCCGCTTGAGAAGAATGTGACATGCGGCTTTTGGATATTCAAAGGACCATTTTACCAGAAGTGGGTTTCCCATAAAATCTGGTTTTTAACCAGATAATCCTAGTTTAAAAGTGAAAAATTTTAAATTCAAAATTATTTCACCAGATTCGCCAACCAAACAGCTTATGTCTTGCTTTATGGCATCGTCGGCTGCATCTTTTCTATGACATATGCCTACTTCAATGGAACGATTACCACCATAGAGAAGCGCTTCAAGATACCCTCGAAAAACACGGGCATCATCTCAGTGGGCAATGACATTAGCCAGACTTTGGTATCTGCAGTCTTGGCCTACTATGCCGGCAAGGGTCATCGGCCCAGGTGGATTGGCTTTGGTAAGCTCTTAAGTAAAATATATACTCTTCAAGGATTGAAAATGCTTTTCCTATATAAATAGGCCTGCTCACCATTGTGCTGTTCTGCGTGCTGACCACCTCTCCGCACTTCCTCTACGGACCCGGCGAGGATGCTCTGGCTCTGACTTCCGAGTTCGGTGGGATGCCCGATGAAAACGCCACCATGGAAGCCATCGAGGAGCAGCGTTCCAAGACACTGTGCCGCTTGAATGGCGGCGGAGCGGAATGCGAGATAGGCGAGGGAAACTTTGCGCCACAGCTGCTCCTGTTCGTGGCCCAGTTCATATCGGGTATCGGGGGATCCCTGTACTACACCCTGGGAGTATCCTACATGGACGACAATACCAAGAAGTCCAAGACACCGGCTCTGCTGAGTGAGTAGTAGTTGCTTTAGTATTAGAAGTAACCGGTTCTAACCGAAAGGAACAGTGGCCAGTGACAATAGGACAATCATTTAATCCCCGGTATCTCGGCTACCTTGAACCTCTGTGTGCACGGGGTGATAAGCTAAGACACCGCTACTAAGTGGGGGAGTGACGAGTTGGTTCACGCTGATTCAGCGATAACGCAGCATTGACGGTTGTTTTGTGCAAAACCCATTGAGGTTCCGAATCCGAAAGTGATACTGACATGCAACAGCAGTCACTATCTTCTAGAGAGAATTAATATTTTACTAGTTTCCCCCACAGTTAGATGCCAAAATGTTATCTTTTTTATGACTTTAAGAAAATATTCTTCAGCCGCCGGGCTATCTCCTGATCCACTTATAAAATCTACTAAGCTTTTAGGAGATAAACGTTATGGCAGGCAGAGCCTTTCATTGAACAAGATAATTGAAGTTATTTTAGTTTTTCTAACAATATACGGACCCCTGTGAGTGAGATACTCATCTAAATCGACACACTTTTTCAGGTCTTTCTTATTTTCTGCGCATGCTGGGTCCTGCCATCGGATATGCCCTGGCGTCCTTTTGCCTGCGCCTGTACATTGCCCCGCAGATGCATCCGGTTATCAACAACAAGGATCCGCGATGGCTGGGCGCCTGGTGGCTAGGATGGCTGGTCATGGGCGGCCTGCTGGCCTTCTCTGGCGTCTTCCTCTCCATGTTCCCCAAGGATCTTCCCCGGGCAGTCGCTCGCCGAAAGGTGGAGGAGAAACGCGCTCGCGAGAAAGAGATGCTGGCGCTTAAAAATTCGGAGAAGGAACGCCTGAACGCTGACTTGGACGAAAAGGCGGTCACCGTGGAGGGCAAAGCCTCGTTCCACGATATGCTGAAGACTTTCCGGCGACTGATTACCAACAAGACGTACATGTGCAACACGCTCTCCAGCATCTTTTACCTGGTGGGCTACACGCCCTACTGGATCTTCACGCCCAAGTATATCGAGGTTCAGTACCGCCAGTCGGCGGCCACATCCTCCATGGTGACCGGAACAGTGGCTCTGGCCTTCTCCGCCGTGGGCGTGCTGCTCTCCGGATTCATCATCTCCAGGTACAAGCCCAGAGCCCGCTATATGGCCGCCTGGAACGTGATCGTTGGCTTCCTCACGGTGGCCGGCATCCTGGCATACGCCTTTATCGGTTGCCCGGGAAACGAGAGCTCTGTAATAGTGAACATCCACGACAGTTCGCTGGCGGACAACACCACCACCTGCAATTCCGCCTGCTCCTGCGACTATGTCCGGTATTCCCCAGTTTGCGGCGAGAATAATATGACCTACATCTCCGCCTGCCACGCAGGATGCAAAAGCTTGCATGTCAACTCTGAGGGAAAGAAAGTAAGTCTCTAAATTGGGGACTATAGACTGAATAACTAGCCTTGCTTCCGTTTTTTCAGATATTCTACGATTGCTCCTGCATTCCGGGCAATGAAGGCGGCAACTCCACAAGTCAGTTCCGACGCCTAACCAGCTCCGACATGAGCAGCGACAACTCCAGCCTGGACATGTCCAGTCTCACCCAGTTGGAGGTATGCACAAAGGCATAAAATCTTTTCAAAAGAACCCCAATAACCAGGCCCCTCTTACTTAGGATCTGGCCAATGGCCAGGCAATGCCCGGGGCCTGTCCCGTGAACTGCTGGACACAGTTCGTGGCCTTCCTGGCTGTGATGTGCTGTTTGAAGTTCGTGGGAGCCACCGGCAGGGCCTCAAATTTCCTGGTGTCTGTTCGATGTGTCCCTGAAAAGGACAAGACGGCGGCCATGGGCTTTGGCATGACCATGTGCTCGATGCTGGCCTTCATTCCCAGCCCCATCTTCTTCGGCTGGGTCGTCGACAGGGTCTGCCTTGTCTGGGGCAAGACCTGCACAAACAAAGGCAACTGCTGGCTTTACGATCCCCAATCCATGAGGTGAGTGAACCATCCTATAACTCTCAGAAAAAAAAAAAAACTCATTACGAATATATCTTTCAGATACACTCTAAACTTCACTGCTGCTGTCTTCATTGCCATTGGGGCCATATTTGATCTGGGCGTTTGGTACTACGCCAAGGACCTGAAGATCTTCGACGAGGAGGTCAAGGAGGTGGAGATGCAGATCGTCCAGCACGAGGAGGAGGCCAGCAACGAGAAGAATACAGAGATCTAGACCTAAGTTATTATTACTCCTAAGTGCTGTGTGAGTGAGAGTTTTGGTGCCTTGATTTGTCAATATCCATGTGTGATTTTCCCCATAGAGTCCGGTACGATAATAAACTGTATTGTAACAGTATGCTCATCCCACTGTTTACACTCGTATGGTAACTACTGGCAATTAAAAGAAGATCCCGATTAGAAAGATAAATGTCAGACTGGGCTATATAAAATTAAAGGTCGTTTTATGTTATCTTGGAGCTTTTCTGTTTACCCGAGCCGGCAAGTCGATTGTAACTTGCTTCTGAGCTGAGAGATCAGTTCATACGAGCGGTTCGACAGAGCAGGATGGTCGACTTGGGCAGCAAAGAGAACGAAACCTCCCGGTTTCTGAAGGATAAGGAGGCCGGCAGAGATGAGACCGAAAGGCAGGAGGAACTGGATCATTCAGATTCCACCTGTGGCTTTTCTATATTCAAGGGACCTGCTCTTCAGAGGTGCGACTTTCTGCCCAGTTGGTCTTGGCAGCATTAACGATATCTCGCCCCCTAGATTTGCCACGGCTCATATGTTCGTAATAATTTACGGGATAGCTAGCTGCTTTCTGGCCATGGCTTTCACCTATTTTACTGGAACTATTACCACGATGGAGAAACGCTTCAATATACCCAGCAAGATTTCCGGTCTCATCACGGTAGGCAATGACATAAGCACTGTGTTTTCATCGGCTCTTTTGAGCTACTATGCCAGTAAGGGACATCGACCGCGTTGGGTTGCCTTAGGTAAAGTCTTGTGCTATTAAAATATATAAATATATATATTGGCGAGTATGTTGGATTTATTGCAGGCCTGCTTATCATTACCCTCTTCTGTGTGCTCATGCTAACTCCACACTTTTTCTACGGACCTGGCGAAGAGGCACTGAGACTCACGGAGGAGTACGGATCAAATGAATTCGTCAACACTACTTTGAACTCCACGCAAAAGGACGACTCCCTTTGTCATGAAAAGGACTCAAAATGCGTAGAGAATACTGCGGATTACAAGCCGATTGTGTTGTTTTTTATAGCTCAGTTTATCGGCGGCATTGGCTGCTCGCTCTTCTACGCTCCGGGGCTTTCCTATATGGATGACAACCTATCGAATGCCAAGACGCCACGCATGCTGAGTAAGCAATCAAAATGAATATCATCAGTATCCTTCCAAAGTTTATCTTTCTCTTATTTAGGTATGTCTACTTTCCTTCGTATGCTGGGTCCTGCCATGGGCTTCTCCATGGTTTCCTTGTGCCTTCGCCTGTACATCGATCCCTTCAAGAAGCCGCTGATCACGCCAGAAGATCCCCGCTGGATGGGTGCCTGGTGGCTGGGCTGGATACTCCTCACCTTTATCCTACTCATCTCAGCCTTTTTTGTTGGCATCTTTCCCAAAGAGATGCCCAAAGCCAGGGCCAAACGCTTAAAAGAGGAGAACAAGGGGGAAGTGGACACGCCGCTGGCGGAACGCTCATTCCAGGACATGATGGACTCCCTAAAGCGACTGGCCTCCAACAGGGTGTACGTGTACAACACATTCGCCTCTATACTCTACTTTTTCGGCTACATGCCCTACTGGATATTCACGCCCAAGTACATTGAGATCCAGTACCGCCAGTCGGCGTCCACCTCCACCATGGCTACGGGAACCTGGGCCCTTGGATTCTCTGCCGCCGGAGTGCTTATCTCCGGCTACGTGATCTCAAAGTATAAGCCGAGTGCCAGGGCAATGGCTGCATGGAACTTCGTGGTGGACTATCTCACGGTGGCTGGACTTATTTGCTATGTGTTGGTAGGGTGCGACGAGAGCGACAGAGCCAACTCGCTGTCAATCATTCCAACTGGAGACACCTGCAGCTCATCCTGCGACTGTGAATACGTTTACTACGCACCTGTTTGCAGTCCGGAAAACGTCACCTACATCTCTGCCTGCCACGCGGGATGCACAGAGAAGGGAGTGGACGATCTTGGAAGGACCATTTACACAGGCTGCAAATGCTTGGGTAGCTCCTTAAACCAAACTTTGTTTTCTAGTGAAACTTCTTTGGCATCTCAGTCCCAGATCGCCATGGATGGAGCCTGTCCTGTGGACTGTAACAAGCAATTCCAGATTTTTTTGGCTGTCATGTGCTTCCTGAAGTTCGTAGGCGCCACAGGAAGGTCCAGTAATCTCCTTCTGGCACTTCGTTGCGTGCCCTCCAAAGACAAGACCTTTGCCCTGGGCTTCGGCAGCATGGTTTATTCCGTGCTTACCTTCATTCCCAGTCCAATTGTCTTTGGCTGGATGTGGGATAGCTACTGTCTAGTCTGGGGAAAGACCTGTGGATCCAAGGGAAACTGCTGGATATACGACTCGAGGTCCTTGAGGTGAGTAATTGTGTTTAGAAATTACCTAAAAATTCATTTATTTTCTGCTCTACAGATTTACAATGAACATTGTAAGTGCCTCTCTGATTTTCCTGGGAAGCTTCTGGAATATCGGAGTCTGGTATCATGCCAAGGATATGAAGATTTTTGATGAAGAAGAGGCTGCGAACATTGGCAACAATTGTGAAATGGTAGAACTTAAGGAGAAACCAAATCCCAGTAGTGACAATAAGCAGGGTGATCAATTAGAGCTTAAGGAGAAGGAATAAGAAATAATATAAATATTTTATTAAAGTTCTTTCCTTAAACAAGCTAGATCTATTTTTATCTTGGGAATGCGTGGCACAACCAGACTTGACTTGCGCCAGAATTTCGCATGTTTCCGAAACAGATATATCTTTAGTATACAAAAGTATGATAAGGAAACCCCATCAATTACCTCTTCTAGAGATTTATGCACCGTATATAGTATATAAATGTCGCCTGTCTGATCCTCACTTGTCTAATCTGACTGCCTTGATAACAACAGTAAAGCTGTGAGATGCAGTTTGTTTATATGGGTGCACGATCTCTGATAGACAGATTCAGTTCACACGAGCTGTGTGGGAAATAAAGTTAACCTAAAGGTGGCATCCTCTTCGTAGCTTTCGATAAATGGTTTTCGGGGCCGTAATCCTTTGCTTTGCTTGTTTGCTATCGATATCGATATGGACTTTTTAGTTTTACTCCCAATTCGCTGCTTTTTAAACTGCTTCAATTTTCCATGAGCGATTTCCCCTATATAATTTCCCGCCTGACTGCTAATTGATGGCAATTATAAAGCAGATCACGCAAACCTTAACTATAAAAAGCTGAGCTTTTCTGTTTAATAACGGCCGGCAATTGGATTAAAACTTGTTTGTCAGAGATCAGTGCATTCGAGCAGTTCGAAACAGAAGGATGGATAAAGCGACCGGCAGTGATGGAACCGAAAAGCAGGAGGAACTGGATCATTTAGATACTACCTGTGGCTTTTCAATACTCAAGGGGCCTCGTCTTCAGAGGTGTCACTATCTGCCAAGTTGCTTTTCCCAGTATTAACGTTATTATAATCCATAGATGTGCCACGGCGAGCATGTTCGTGGTTATTTATGGGATGGCTTGCTGCTTTCTGTCCATGGGTTCATCATATTACTCGGGAACTATTTCCACAATGGAAAAACGCTTCAGTATACCCAACAAGGTAACCGGAATAATCGGGGTGGGCAGTGAAATAAGCACAGTTTTATGCTCAGCCTCCTTGAGCTACTACGCCAGTAGAGGACATCGACCGCGTTGGATTGCTTTAGGTAAAGTTGCTAAGAAATCTATAAAAAATTTAAAATGTAACAGAGAAATGCGAGAATGAATTTTGGGGCGTGCCAAAACAGAGGCAGAGAGATGATATCACAACCAGCATACACACAAATATACACATTCGGTAGCAATCTCTACTCACTACAAACAATTAATTGTCATGATATGTACATAAAGTGCTGCCTACATTAACTATGACTAGTCAAGGGAATTTTATAATTTATAGTTGCCTAATTTGAGTGATCAAATAATTAAACTAATTTAATTTTAGCTGAGCTTAATTTCAACTTTACATATAAAACATAAAATTATTCATTTTTATCTTAGTTTTTATACCATAAATATTTTGGTCTGCCCAATTATCATAAAAAATATCGATTTAAAAATTAGCATATAAAGATATCAATTTAAAATCCCTTAAATACTCATATTATAGATCTGTTGGACTTTTTGCAGGATTCCTTATCATTATCCTCTTCTGTATCCTCATGCTAACTTCACACTTTTTCTACGGACCCGGCGAAGAGGCACTGAGACTGACGGAGGAGTACGGATCAAGTGAATTCGTCAACACTATTTTAAACTCAACTCAAAAAGACGACTCCCTCTGTCACAAGAAAGACTCGAATTGCATAGAGGACACTTCGGACTATAAGCCAATAATCCTGTTTTTCATAGCCCAGTTTATCGGCGGAATTGGATGCTCATTCATCTATGCCCCGGGGCTATCATATATGGACGATAATCTATCGAAAGCCAACTCCCCTCGAATGCTGAGTAGGAATCAAAGTGATTATATCTGTAAAAATTCCTTATATATTCTCCTTTCCTAGGTTTTTCCACTTTCCTGCGTATGCTGGGTCCGGCCATGGGCTTCTCCATGGCCTCATTTTGCCTGAGCCTGTACATCGATCCCTTCAAGAAGCCGCTGATTACACCAGAGGATCCCCGCTGGATGGGTGCCTGGTGGCTGGGTTGGTTTCCCATGATATTTATTCTGCTAATCGCAGCGTTTTTTGTGGGCATCTTTCCCAAGGAAACGCCTAAAGCCAGAGTCAGACGTTTGAAAGCGGCCGATAAAGGAGAGATGGATGCTGCTATAGGGGACCCCTCATTCCAGGATATGTTTGACTCCCTCAAACGATTAGCCTCCAATAAGGTGTACGTGTACTACGCACTTGGCTCCATATTCTACTGTTACAGCTACATGCCCTACTGGAGTTTCACGAGCAAGTATATGGAGATTCAGTTTCGCCAGTCGGCGTCCACATCCACCTTGGCTATGGGTACTTGGCCGTTTGGATTCTCCGCCGCAGGTGTTTTAATCGCAGGATTTATAATCTCAAAGTACAAGCCGAGTGCCAGGACAATGGCTGCCTGGAACTTCGTTTTGGACTACATCAGAGTGGCTGCACTTATATGCTATGCCCTAGTGGGATGCGACGAGGGCGACAGAGCTAACTTACTGACCATCATTCCATCTGGCGACTCTTGCAGTGCATCCTGCGATTGTGAGTTCGTGTACTACGCACCTGTTTGCAGTTCGGAAAATGTGACCTACATCTCGGCCTGCCACGCGGGATGCACTGAAAAGGGACTGGACGATCTGGGAAGAACCATTTACACAGGCTGCAAGTGTTTGGGTAGCTTCCTGAATCAAACTCTGATTTCTAACGAAACATCTCTGGTATCCCAGTCTCCGAGCGTTGTAGACGGAGCTTGTCCGGTGAACTGCGACCAGCAATTCCTAATCTTCCTGGCCGTTATGTACCTTTTGCGGTTCGTAAGTGCCACAGGAAGTTCCAGTAATCAGCTTCTGGCCCTTCGATGCGTCTCTACTAAAGATAAAACTTTTTCCATGGGCTTCAGCACTATGATGTTAACCGTGCTCGTCTATATTCCCGGTCCCATTATCTCCGGCTGGATGTGGGATAGCTACTGCTTGGTCTGGGGAAAGACCTGCGGAGTTGAGGGAAACTGCTGGATATACGACTCCAGGTCCTTGAGGTGAGCAAGAAGTTACTAAAAAGGAATCTCTAATTGATTATTATTCCACAGGTTTACAATAAATCTCGTGAGTGCCTTTCTTATATTCCTGGCAAGCTTCTTTAATTTTGGAATATGGTATTATGCTAAGGATGTAAAGATTTTCGATGAAGAGGAGACTTCGGCCACTAGATGCCAGGATGAAGTATTAGATCTTAAAGATAAACCAAATCCCACTAATGCCGATAAGCAGGTTGATTAATGATTACATTAAAGCTTTTTCCTTGCACCAAGCTCAATATATTTTTATCTTGGGGATACGTGGCACACCCATGTTTGAGATTGTGCTTGCGCCAGAATTTCACACGTTTCCGAAAAAGATACGAAAGTTTGATAAGGAAACCCCATCAATTAGCTCTTCTTAAAATTTATACCCCCTGTCGCCTGTCTGATCCTCACTTGTCTAATCTGACTGCCTTGATAAGAACAGCGAGCTGAGACACTTGAGATGCAGCTGGCTATATGGGTGTGCGATCCCCAGACAGACAGATTCAGTTCATATGCGCTGTGTGGAGATGAAAGTTGACGAGAAGGTGGCACCATCTGAGCCAAGAGAAGCTCTGCCCTTCCTGGAAAACAGGGAAAAATGTAAAAACCCATCTGAGAAAATATCTAAAGAGGAAGATGACGAAACTGCCTGCGGATTTTGGCTATTCAAGGGCCCCTTCATGCAGAGGTAATCGCCTCCACCTATCTATATCTTAACTGTATGGTTTGTATTTTTGCAGATTCGCAACCGAGAAAATGTATGTGATTCTCTATGGGATTGCTGGCTGTGTGATGACAATGACCTTCGCCTACTTCAATGGGACTATTACGACCTTGGAAAAGCGCTACAAAATACCCACAAAGATATCAGGCATTATCTCGGTGGGCAATGATATCAGTACCATGTTAACGGCCGCCCTCTTGGGCTATTATGCAGGAAATGGGCATCGACCCCGCTGGATGGGGATAGGTGAGCTAAGCTTTTAAAACTCGCCATATATCTGATAGTTTCCCACTTAGGTCTACTGACCATCGTGGCCTTTTGCCTGCTGACGAGTTCGCTGCACTTTATCTATGGCGCCGGCGAGGATGCATTGAAGCTGACACGGGAATATGGCCAGGTTAATGAGACTCTGGCCAGGCAGGAGAGGGATCAGAAGTTGTGTCAGACTAAAGCAGCTGGTTGTATCCAGGAGGAGATTGGTCAGTGGGTCCCCCAGGTGTTCTTGTTCATGGCGCAACTCATCTCTGGAGTGGGACAGGCCCTCTTCTATACCTTGGGCATTGCCTACATGGATGACAATGGGACCAAGTCCAAGACTCCCGCCATGTTGAGTGAGTATTTCATTAATTTTTAACCGAGGCACCAGCTAACTTGTGGCTTATCCCAGGCTTATCCACGTTCTTGAGGATGCTGGGTCCAGCTATTGGCTATTCCCTCGCTGCTCTCTGCCTACGTCTGTACATAGAACCCAGCTTGGAGCCTCTGATTGGCAGGGAGGATCCCCGTTGGATGGGTGCCTGGTGGCTCGGCTGGATTGTGCTGGCTGCAATGACCTTGGTCTCGGCCATTTTTCTGTTCATGTTTCCCAGAGAGCTGCCCAGCTCGAGAAGGAGACGCCTTCAGGCAGGGCAGGCTGAAGGCAATCAGGAAGTAAATCTTAAAGAGCGCTCCTTTGGTGACATGATGCAGACGGTCAGGAAGCTGACCAAAAACAAGGTGTACGTGTACAATACCATGGCTTCCATAATGTACTTCTTTGGCTACATGGCCTATTGGATATTTACTCCGAAGTATATCGAGACCCAGTACAGACAATCGGCGGCCATGGCCACCATGGCTACAGGAACCGTGGCTCTGGGATTCTCGGCCGCCGGAGTCCTCATCTCCGGCTACGTGATTTCAAAATACAGACCAAGTGCCAGGGCCATGGCCTCCTGGAATGCCATCGTAGACTTCGTAACGGTGGCCGGAATTCTCTGTTATGTGGCCATAGGATGCGAGAGTAGCGATAGATTGAACTCGCTGACCACCTTGTCGGCTGAAAACAGCTGCAGTGCATCCTGTCACTGCGACTACGTTCACTATGCTCCGGTTTGTAGTCCTGAAAACATCACCTATATCTCCGCCTGCCATGCGGGCTGCTCCGAGAGGTCAAAGGATGAGCTGGGAAGGACCATCTTCACAGGCTGCAAGTGCATGGGCTCCTCCAGCTTAGAGTCTGGAACGGAGGTAAGCTTTATCTCTCCCAAAAAAATCCATTCAGTCTCATATTCCTTTTTTTTCAGTCCCAATTCGCTGTGGATGGCACCTGTCCTGTAGACTGCTTCAATCAGTTCCTCGTTTTTCTGGGCGTCATGTGCTTCCTGAAGCTGGTGGGTGCTTCTAGCAAGTCCACTAATCTGCTCATTGCCCTGCGCTGCATTCCCCAAGAGGACAAAACCTTCGCTCTGGGCTTGGGTTCTATGGTAGCCTCGCTACTTGGCTTCATCCCGAGTCCCATATTTTTTGGCTGGCTAATTGACAACTATTGCTTGGTGTGGGGCAAGACCTGTTCCAACAAGGGTAACTGCTGGCTCTACGACACGGAGTCCTTGCGGTGAGTCACTCCTGTAGCATTTGATCGAAGAATTTTTATTGAATGGATTGTTTCTCCTTGCAGTTACGCCTTGAATCTCACGGCTGCTTCCTTTATTTTCGTCGGCGGCTTTCTGAATATTGCAGTTTGGCATCACGCCAAGGATCTCAAGATATTTGACGAGGTGGAACATGTCGAAAAGGAAGTGGAAATGGACAAACTGGATGTCAAATCTCGGGAGAACAAATAAGCTATGTACATGTCGGAGATATCCGTTATTTAATTTAACCGTAGTCGAGCCAGCGAGTTCTGTTCGCCTGCGCAGTCAAATCGAATCTGTCATCACGCCACTTTTCCTGTGGCCCTTTCACCTTTTCTTACTTTTCACTCAGATGTCATTCCTAGACAATCTCAAGCTGTCTCTCTCATTCTCTCCTATTGTTGCGACAGACGAACAGACCTCACTCAGTAACACTCCTGTTACCGACTCAACTGTCATTGCGCCTGCGCGCCAGCGACACCTACAGGGCTACCAATACCTGAGCATGCCGAATAACTCTGTTGCCATAGCAACAAGCTTTCCAAATTTGCACTTAGCAACCAACTCGCCGACACGGCCATCCTGACAATTCACGCGTCCTCGCGTGACGTGTCTTCTAATAGCTCTAAACATAACTGTCATTTATCATTCTCTCTTTTTTTCTCTCTTTGGTCTCAACTTAACATTTCATTTTATCTGTTTTATTCATGTCAAATAAGCTTTACTTTTATTTCTTCTCGCCACTTCATTCTCTTCTCGTACCAAATCTGTATCTTCTTTCTCTGCTCGTACCACAACTCTTACTCAACATCTCTTCATCAATTTATACAGGCTCTTGCTGCACACTTTGCAACGCTCACACGCACCTCTTGCGTCACGGTCTCTCTGGACCCTCACAGCCTTATAAATGATTCCACCAACGAGTGCCTCAGTCGGCGATCTCTCGCTTACACTTCTAGTGTCTTCAAATGTTAGTTTGGCAGGATAACCTTTCGAAACCATAGAGTACAAGCTCTTTTCGTATTTCAAAAGGCTCCGCTTCACATATTCTGACCATAGGAATAAAGTAGGCCCCGTTTCATGTGATCCGACACGGCCTTCCTGACAAATCACACGTCCTCGTGTGTTAACTTTAAATCACAGTATTCTAAAATTTCGGTACTCGTTACATTTTATTGTCAACAAACATTTCATTAATTTTCTAAACATAAGTATTGAGGCATTTAGACAAAATAAGCATCTTGGTTTCATGATAACATAACAAATTACATCTTCATTTTAATCATAATTTACAATTCAGACTTCTCTAATTACATAGCTTTATCAACTGGTGTATTTCCTTTTACACCCACATACTGACCCCCGCCATAACAATTCCTTCTGTTATGGTGCGGTCTCCACTGACCCCCGCCATAACAATTCCTTCTGTTATGGTGCGGTCTCCACTGACCCCCGCCATAACAATTCCTTCTGTTATGGTGCGGTCTCCACTGACCCCCGCCATAACAATTCCTTCTGTTATGGTGCGGTCTTTATATCCCCTCTTGGGATTCCAAGGCATCAACCGTGCCATCCATATCATCATTCCCCACATGGGAATCAGACGCATCTCCACTTGAGTCGTCTAAATCTTTATCAATCAACGTGATTGCTTATTTGTCTATTTGGCAATGCCCTCAAAAACTCATGCGCATACTTATAAGTTCTTTTGCTTGTTAAGGATTTTAAAATGTACCGATTTCCATCTTCATTTCTTTATCTCTTTCTTTCTCCTCTCTCTCATTCGTAACAATTTCAATTTCCAATTTATCCATTTTAAGTTAATCTTGCCTTAACAAAATTGTGCTCTTACTTCCATAATTTTACCGAACCGGCATAACGTAACTTTAAATTTCTCTTTCTTTATACTTTTCTCTGTGTCATGTGGTGGTATCAAGCCCAAAGGGTGGGTCCGATTGGCATCTCTTAAGGGCTTGCATTGGTTGCACTACTAACTGTGCAGTTCGCCGCAAGTTGCACCCCGCCAAGAGCATCTTCCCATCACCTCTGCGGTCCTGGTATCCAGCCAGATGACTACTTTACAACTTTACACATGATACAATTTTCAACAATCTTTAAACTTAGTCATTTCCAACAATTCTGATAAATATTGCTGAGTCTATTTTTTCCAATCCAAACACATAACGGATTTATAACCTTGATTAATAACTATCCAACAAAATTTAAGGGACACTACTGGCAGATAACATTGCCTCACACCTCTCTGTATTCTTTAAAATCCCTCTTCGTAACTCAAGTTAATTTCAATTATTTTTAGTTGTTTATAAACTATACCAATAAATCCTGAATCCTGAAGTTGATCAGTCGGTCATTTGAGATTTCCATTCTAAGTTCAGACGTTTTTCTGTCAATTTATTTTTATTTATCGGAGTTAAATCAGTCATGTGAATTCTGGACACAAAAAGAATTCCACAATTGCCTTGCGCTTTCTCTTCCTCTACTCTATGATGCACTTCAGTTAATTTTTTTTTTTTTGTTTAGAAATGATTACATCTGCAATAAGTATAGACTACAAACTCTCATCTGAGCAAACAATGCCAAAAATGTCAGAATAATTGCACGCCAACCAATATTTCCAATTCATACAAAGGCTACTTGGACTCCACAAGACACATAGTTCTACCAATATATCCACCAACATAAGGGTCTCCATTAATTAGGTGTATTAGCATTGGACCATATCCACAAGAGCTTATATCTGTTTCAAATTTGATCAGATGTTTCGAACCCACAAATAACGATTACAGGCTCATTTGTAATAATATTAAAAACGTTCGTTCCAATTTCTGAATATCGTCATTTCACTTAAAGATACTTGAAGCCGAAGAATCTGTCTCATGATCTGAGAAAATCGAGGCACACGTTTTTGAAAATAAGGCACCAATTCAATAAATGGTCTTACGACGGTCTCTTAATTGCACCGATTAAAAGGACGGACCTTTAACGTAAGGATTTTCTAGGAATTGGGTCTGATTTCTCCACCGCACACCTCATAGCTCAGATACTGCGTAGTAGGTTCAAGAAACCCACATTTGGTAACGTTAAATGGCAACTCTGGTACAGTCAACACATTTAATACAACCTTCAGCCTTCGGAAAGCCTTTTCTTCCGAGTTTGCCATGATTAACATGCATCTATGTAAACTATCGCAAATAATCATGATAAATTCCAAACGCCTTAACAATTGCATGATGAAGGTAGAAGATGCACTCTTCAAACCAAACGGCACGGCAGACCAAACAGACGGCAACTCGTAATTTTTTTAAATTAATTATTTTTCAACAGAAACATTTTTCCTTCACAGGGTCTGACATAAGCGGCAAAGGCCACTGTCCGAAACCATTTTCGAATATTGCTTCCGATAGTCTAAGCACAACCTATCGTAGCACAGGGCTCGCCAATGGGAAGGCAGATGTGCAAACAACACTGCAATCAAACACATCTCTATTCCCATCTTTTAGCCAATTCAGCTCCCAAATCAAAGAATAATTGGAAAGGGCTCACCCGATACTGTCACTGTTGAATCACACAAATCAACTCGCTTCTACATGCAGCTGATGCTGCCGCTCGCAGCCGCTGATACCCATCTCGTGCACACAGATGCAATGTGACCACCGTTATCACGCCTGAAGTGCGTCACTCCAGCTCTCCGCACTTCAGCCGCAGTTCCGCCAGTGTGCTGTTGTTGTTGTCTTCCATTCTTCCCCAAATTTTCTGGCCGACACTGATGACACTTGCAACCGTCCGGCTCAACACGCGACCAGTGCATTTGACTGCCTATCACGACTCCGGTGTCTCGCACCACGCGGCTGCGCAAGCCTTCGATGCGCCACTGAATTTAATATCGACCGAAAATCACTTTATCAGAATGCCCGCGAGGCTATGGTGAATCCCACTTCTGATGTCGGAGATATCCGTTATTTAATTTAACCGTAGTCGAGCCAGCGAGTTCTGTTCGCCTGCGCAGTCAAATCGAATCTGTCATCACGCCACTTTTCCTGTGGCCCTTTCACCTTTTCTTACTTTTCACTCAGATGTCATTCCTAGACAATCTCAAGCTGTCTCTCTCATTCTCTCCTATTGTTGCGACAGACGAACAGACCTCACTCAGTAACACTCCTGTTACCGACTCAACTGTCATTGCGCCTGCGCGCCAGCGACACCTACAGGGCTACCAATACCTGAGCATGCCGAATAACTCTGTTGCCATAGCAACAAGCTTTCCAAATTTGCACTTAGCAACCAACTCGCCGACATACATTTATTCCAAAGTTAAATAAACAGGCCGGGATTGAGGCTTCAAGACATTTTAAAATTGTTCGTGGCCTGGTCAACACCATTTTTAGGCTAGCATCATGGCCGCTCCGGAAAGCAGCTGTCGCCGCTGGCTGCAAAAGAACTTTGTCGAAGGTCCTTGTCGGAACTGCTTTGAGCCCTCCGGTGGACCCTGCATGGATTACAGGGTCTCTTCGCCTCCGACGAGTATGGTAGAGCCGCAAGCGAACATCATTCAGGCCACCATCGAGCCGGAAGGACCTGTTCGTCAGCAGATCGACATCCGGGCGGAGTGCAGCAAGGGGCGGCCGCTTCTTGAGTCAGACAAAGACGAGATGTGCTGCACTATGTGCGTGGCCCAGGAGCAGAATCTTCACCCCAATCTTTGCTCGGCGGCATGCAGGCCACTTCAAACCTCCTTGCACTTGGATGAGGTGGGTAGTGTTTAGCTTGATTCTGTTCTGAAACCCTTTAACCCACAGTGGACCAAGAGACCCCGGCCCAAGCCGACTTACAAGCATGCGGTTATTCTGGACAATAACACCATGGCAGGGCGTTGTTTTCCAATCAAATTCCAGCTAAAACGTCTGAAGAACAAGTGCCTGGACTGCGGCAAGGAGCTTTATTTCCAGTATCCCATTGCCAACAACACTGACGTCCTGCTCATGCAGAACTGTTGTGATGTGGAGGTGTATCCCGCCAAGAAGGTGGACGGGTTGAACAACGTCAAGGTGGCCAAGATAACGGGGGCAAAGAAGATATCCAATAGTGTCCTGAAGGAGCGTTCCGAGTGCCGCATGTTCAAATTGCCCATCGTGCAACCTGAGCTAGAAATTCTGGCTTCCTTAAACCCGGAGCCAGGCCCGGTTGCCAAAAAAGGGAAAAAAGGAAAGGGCAACAAAGGCAAGAAAAAATAAACAAATAATTAAAGGCTTTGTTTTCTAAACCTGAAAAAATAAATTATTAGTGTAACATTGTAAATTAAAAGTAAAAAAAAGGTTTTTTTAAATTTTAAATTCAATTTTTTAACCAATGACTATGAGTTTCGCACTCAAATCCAATTGCTTCTCGAATTTAACTTCCTTTCTCTGTTATAATAAATTATGATTTAAGAAAAATTTGAGTAAAAATATTTAAAGTTGAGTCAAATGAATCTAGACCGAAACATGAATTTCGAAATCCAAGCTTTTGAGTGAAAGCTGCACTCTAGAAAGCCCAACTTTGGTTTACGGTGGCCATCTCACTGGGGAGCTTTCGGCCCACAGTCCACAATCCAAACTTATTCTTGCTGCCCGTTTTTTATGAACTTTTGTTTAAAATTAAAACCAATTAGATGCGCAGAAAACGTATAATATAATTTATGGTATATCTAGTGTAAATTTAATTCAAATTCAGTCGCATAAGCATACATACATAGCGTAATTCTATAATATAATTTATGGTTCAGCTTACAACGTTAATCGAGAATTGAGTGAGAATCGAAAGGAACGGGGTTGCGGGACGGGGGCGGGGAGTACCTCTAGTTTCATTATACTTCAAGACTCCTGGCGTTCGATTGATGTGCTGCGGTTAGTTACGAGATACAGATTACGAATACTTGATGCTGTTAACGCTGCTGGGCTGCTGCTCTCAGTCCCAGCTCTGGGTTAATACGAGATTTAAAACTTAGGTTCTGGCCGTCGATCGGCTTGACTTGCTGCGCTATAAATTTAGAATTGTTACTGCACTTCGTCGGGTCGCTTGGGCTAGTTTTTGGAAAACTGTTGGAACACTTGGCCACTGAAATGCGTCTGGTTTGTCTGTAGCTAAGTTTATATAGTTATAGTACAGCTACTATCGTTAACGTTCTGCGCAAGGCGTGGTATTGCAGTTTAACCGATCGTTTTGAGTGATTTCGAATGTCACAACTATAAATATTATACTTCAAGTAGTCGACTATGCTCTATGCTACGTACTCTAGTCTATATGCACTTGATTATTAGTTTAGTTTAAAAATTAGCTACTCGTCGTTAGGCTACCTCTAGATGGATACATGTCTGTAAATATGTGTATAATTTAATTTAAATAAGCGTCTGTACTGTCGTGTCGCGCCTCTTCAACAGTCGGTCGAATCAAATCGAATCGAGTACCTGCTTTGTGCTAAACGGGAGAAGCTGTCTGTTCGGTTATGTTCAATTATGTCCTGGTGGTTCTGGAAGCGTATCGTTTGCCTATGCATCCACTGGAAAAAAGTCTTTGAGTAGGGTGGTGCGACGCTTCTCAGCGATGTCCATTTGATTCTCGAGATCACCCAGGTCCGTCGTCTCGGCCCGCTCGATCTTCCACGACAGGTTCTCGATCTCAGCCTCCAGTTGCGCCTGTGGAGTAAAGAGATTATTAGAGAGAGTTCATCCAAGATGTAGTGGCTAAGGAAACCCACCTGCTGGTACTCGAAGAGATTCTTCCGTGAACCGCCCTCCATGTAGTAGGCGTACGGATAGGTGTATTGCAGCGTGTAACGGCACTTGGCCAGCAGTGCCGCCGCATTGAAGAGATACTGCCAGTCGATCCAGGTGCCGCTGCCGTTCATTACCTTGGAGTTGATGCGCTGGCGCAGCCGGTCGATCGTCTGCTGCTCGAGCTTGAGCGACTTGGAGTGGTTCTCCCAGCGTTCGTAGTAGTGCAGGTACTTCTTGAGCGCCTCGCGCGCCTGCACGTGCACCGACTCGTTGGCAATATTGGGGTTGTCCTTGTAGCGGGAGCACTCGTAGTACTCGGAGCCGTGCGTCTTCCAGTCGCCCAGGCACATCCAGCAGAAGTCGTGCTTGCAGTTGAAGCACTGCATGTGGTTGCAGCCGCCGTTCTTCTCGATGCAGATGTGACACTTGGGGCAGTCTTTGGTGTGGGCGCTAATGTAGTTGGCCGTTTCGCTATCATCGGCGCACTTGGTCAGCCACTTCTTGATCACCTGGCAGTCGGTGGGCGCGTGGTAGTCCATGCCGCACCGGAAGCAGAAGCCCGTGTGGCATACCTTGCATATGGCACGTTTGGCGGAGATCTCCGATGATTGCACTATGATCTGGCAGTTGGGTCCGGGGCAGAAGCGCAGCTCCGGGTGTGATTTCACGTAATCCTTAAAGGCGAACTGCTGGTACTTGTCGCGCATTACAGGCCGGGTGACCAGCGTCAGCACCAGATCCTCCGGCACCCGAACATTGCACATCTGGGCCATGCAGCCTATTTGCGTGGAGATGCCCTGGAAGATCTGCGTCTCAAAATAGATGGTCCAGCAGTCCTTGCAGAACGAGTGGCCGCAGGCCAAACTGTAGAATTTATCGCCCAGCTGAGAGCTGGCGCACACGGGGCACATTTGACTCCGGTATTGTGGCGCCGTCGAGGCTGTCGTCTTGTATCCGCTGTTGCCCAGTCGGAGCAGCTGGGCGCTAGCGGCCGCCGCCGCAGCGCTCGTGGAAGCTGCATCCGCAACGGACACAGTGGGTGGCTTGATGCGCGCCGTCACCAGCAGCGCGTTGGCATCCTGGCGGTACTTCTCCACGACAATGTGATTGTTCCACTGGTGCTCCAGCAGCAGCACCTTGGCCAGCGAGGGCGTGATCTGCAGGATGGTGTTAAGCTTTTCCACGCGCTCGTTGAGCAGCTTTTCGATGTCCTCCACAGTTAGGCACTCGTACTCGAAGTACTCGGGATCGGCTCGTTTCGGATCCAGGCGTTCCACATCGCAGTCCTCGCCTGTAAGGGAAATAGGTAAGTCAGTGAGTTTTTGGGATTTATTATAAATGGATTTATTAAAGTTAAGATCTTGTCTTTAATTTTCCTATTGTTGTAGAAGTGAGAACGGGGTTAAATAACAGCTGAAATCACAATCTACCACCAAAAATAGGGTTGATTTGTGGAGGACTCTGAGTTACAGTTGCATAAACACGAGTATTGCGGCATAAACTGGTTTCATTTGTTTGACTTTGAACTGTGTCCTCAGACAAGAGTATGATTTATAAATTACAATTTAATAATAAAAAAATAAAACTGTTATACCTAACAACAGCTTAAATGAATAGTATTTGCCAAATACTTAGACCGATTATCGGTGTTGCCTGTGAGTATTTGTGAACATTGTACTTTTGCTAATTCGTAACCCTAAGCTGCACAACAAGGCTGCCATACAAATGCCCGATTTTAGCCGTGCCCGTACCGGGTATCTGATTGAAGGCTGTTGGCTGTTACGAGGCGTCTTGGCCAGGTCTCAAGTCGCTGGCGGAAGGGACAGGTCAGAAAGGCAGAGCCGAGAGATGCGAGCTGACGGAAAAGCGGGCACAAAACAAAGTGCAACTACGTACGTACTTGGGCACGCACCTGAGACGGTGTGTGTGACGGTGTGCTGCGGAGCGAAGAAGAGCGTGGGAAGAGCGGCGGGCAATAATGAAGCCAGCCACAAAACACAAACCTCACAATCAGTCGCCGCTCACAACTACGAATTGTACTTGTTCGAACACGGAGAGAAATGAGGGGGTAGTTAGATTTTAAAATATTCCTTTAATTAGCTTGGAAACTGCATCTTATCTGATCACAGATAATAATTACTAAAATTGTTTTAAAATTTTAAATAAATAATGTAAACATAAGCCCAATCTAAACACTAATAAAACTGCAAACTTTAGCGTTGAATTGTAATTATTATTTAAATTTGCACTCCCAAACTGTAACTACTCTTTTCTCGCCGTGCAGCTACTTGCGTGTGTGTTGGTTTCAAGTTCAATTCCATAATTTCAGCCTCATGGTCAAGCCAAGAAACAGAAGGCCCTAAGGAGGGAAAGGGGCTCTGAGGAGGAGGCGGTGGGTCCCCACCAAGGGGAGCAGGCGGAACCCAAGGCGAATGTCAAGTGCTGAATGCAAATATTCTCGCTTCTCTAGGCCTCCAAAAAGGTGAATAACCAACCCGCATGCACACACGCACACACACATGCCCGGGGCACTTTGTGTGTGTACTTCCTCACAACCACAGCGACAGGCCTATTTAGCCTCAGTTAAATCGATGGCGCTGATTGTTGTCAGGAGGAGAGGGGCCCGGAGAGGAGAGGCTGCTGCTGCTGCTGCTGTTGCCCGAAATCCTGCTCACCTGTGTTGTAGTAGTCGTAGTCGTCATCGTTGTCCGATTCCAGTTCCATTTCGATATCGGAGTCCATCTTCGCGGACTACAATTACGCCTTCGATTGTGGTGGCGATTGGGATTCGGATTGAGATTGAGTTTCTGGCGAGGACACCACTGGCTGTCTGTGTGTGTGTGTGTGCGGAGCGTGCGTATGTGAGCGAGCTGTAAACGGGGTTGCGGGGCGGGGTGTCTCTCGCCTCGCTCTTTTGTAACAGTTGTTGTAAGGGCGCTGGTGGTTGCTGTTGTTGTTTTCGCTGCTGCTGCTGCTGGAGGTGGATGAAGCGACGGTGTGGTTGTTGTTGTTCCTGGTGGTGGTGGCCGAGGGGAGTGCAGGGTGGAGAGCGCAGAACGGAGAGTGGAGACTGGCCGCGGGGGAGATGGCTGGGACGTGGGGGATTTAGTGCGATGCAGTTCCTCGTATTCTATTGGGGACAAGCTTTGCGGGAGGCGGCGGGGAGCGGTCCGTTGTTTTATTTTCGTTCATCCACATGTATACACACACACTCGCACACTCTCTTTCACGCACTCGCACACACTTGCAGCCCCGTTGCACTCAAGGTGTTTGCCTGCAGTTTATTTGCAGCGCCGTTTGAAGGGCATTTTCCGGAAAATAGTCTCAGCTAGCACCCGCGACGCAGAGTAGTGGTACTCTGGAAAGCCGTGGAAAGCGGAAAACCCTTATCGCTTATCGCCGTCACTTGTTCTTTGTTCCGAATTAAAAATTTGTTTGTTGATGTGAAATAGTAGGGCTGTTGACAATCAAAATATCAAAATCGCGATTTTTATTTGATATTTTTTTATATTTTTCCCCTGGTCACTCTGAACTTACATTTTACATGCTTGGGGTCGAATTCTCGTTTTTTGGGTCGAATTCTCATGTAGAGTGTAAAAATGTAAGTAAATCAAAATACCGAAATCGCGATATTTGGTATTTTTTCCCTGGTCACTCTGAATGTCAAAACAATGTTTTACATGTAGAATGTTAAAATGTAAATAAAATGGTCTGGTACTTTTGGTCGCGGGGACTCAAAAGTCTGGCAACGCTGCTGTGCGAGCTACTAGTGTTGCCAGACTTTTCGGTCCCAGCTCCCAGTGTTGCCAGACTTTTCGGTCTCAGCGACCAAAAGTACCAGATCGGAGAACTATCGCTGAAAAAGGTGGCGAACTTTGCTTATTGTCGAACAAACAGCGATGCCAGACTTTTTCATGAGCGACCAGCAATGCCAGACCGTGCGTTTACGGTCTGCCTGTTAGATTTGAAATATTTTTCCATGCCCAACCAGCGGGAGGAGGTGCTCCGACACCTTGTTAATTAACCAAATTAATAACGAAAACATTAAACTGTTATTAGATCTTACACATTTTTGTTTAATTTATGTTATTTAAATATACCATCCTAAATTTTTTAGAATTTTACTATTAATGACTGCACGCCAGAACTAAAAATACAAAAATGTAGTTCTCTTAATCGTTAGTAGCTGTTTGCTGCGAATTTTTCCGATCTTTGTTGACATCTTGGCTCTCTGCGGGCATACTCTCGGCACACAACAGCTCCTGCAGAGGAGCAAAACAGGCTACAAAGAGATCCGGGACCAATTTCATCTTCTTCTCGTTTCCCTCTTTTTTAATACTCTGGGCTTCTTCAAGAACTTTATCGTCAGCCACCAAAAGAGACTGAAAGCCACAGATACTTGCAAAAACAATATCCGTTTTGAGACTGGAAAATAGTATACATTTTAAATGTATACATTCACTAATGAACCAATTTTCAGCTTAAAAACTACGTTTCTTACGTGTTCCCTATAACCAGCGTCTTTTCCGGTTTAATTTCCCCGGACTCGAGCAACTTGCCAAGTATCCGGGGATTCGGTTTGCCCAAGACTACGGGCTTCCTATTGACAATCACCTGAATGGCAGCCGCCACGGTGCCCGCATCCGGAATCCGGTGCTTGCCAAAAGGGAAAAACCCATCCGTGCCGGTGGTCAAAAACAGCACCTTGGGATTTTTCAGGTAGTTACAGGCCACGATTAAGTCATTTGTGTCCATGCTGTCATCCCTGGCCACCACCACGGCACCCACGTCGGGATCTAGCTCCAGGCTTCGCACGAACTCGATCCAGCTCTGGCCGTTGGAGCTTAGCTTGCTTACCATGGTGCAGAAGCCGGCCTTCCTCAGATCCCTACAAATGCCACTGCCGCCCATGACGAGCACCTTCTTCTCGAACTTCCTGTCGGTGAGGTAACCCGATATGGCGCCCGCCGCGCTGAGCACGTCCTTCTCGCCTACTTGGAAGCCCAGGCTCGCTGCCTTCTTGGTCAATTTCCCGTTTGACAGGATGCTATCATTGGTCACAATCAGACATCGCTTTCCCTTGGCTTTGACGGCGTTGAAGGTATCCACTGATTCCGCAATGGGCTCGTACTCCTGCCACAAAACCCCATCCGTGCCGAAAATGATGGTCTCGATTCCGCCCAACCACTCGGCAGCCTGCTGCTTGGGCAGCTTATCCAAAAGGCTGCAACTACGTTTGAACATTGCTGAATTTTGTTAATTAATTATGATTTTTATAAAATTTTGAAGTATGTGGCATTGATTTCCCGAAGATTGAGGAAATGAAACTCCTTCCTTTTTACTAATTAAGAGTTGCACTTTGGGAGATTATCTCAGATCTTGTATTTCATTTTTGTAATAGCTTGTAAGCTTTTGCATTTTCTTATATTTATCAAGACTGAATTCTAGGAAATTATATTAGTATCAAGTTGAGATTTCTGTAATTCATGTATCCACCATATCAGGCAGATTAAACAAAAACAACTTTCTCCACAGTCCACGCGATGCGGTCCGGGCAAGTCCATTTGTGAAATTGCAAAATTTGTACAGATAAATCAGGGCACGTTCTGGGTAGATTAGGAGATCATGGGACTACCAGCTAGATTTATAGCTGCAAACGTGACTGCACTGATTCAGATTGCTGCGGGAAGTATTTGCACAGGTGATTTCAGCTTTTTGGGGATCATGTGCAAGGCAAGTGGTCTCGGCATCTCCATTTTTTTTGGACACTAATACGGAGTTCAAATGACCTCAAAGATCCCAGAAAGAGAAAATTTTTTTATATGATTCACACTCTAGGTGGTGGTAGTTAGTGGCAGAGTAACCTAAGCTGAGGGTAATCAAACAGACCCTTTCCCAACTAGCCGGGCATCATGCTAGATTGGGATGATTTTCGCGAGATAGGGCAAACTCGTATTCACCGAGATAAGTCCGTCATGGGTCCATAAACAGAGGGGAATAAACTAAATTTAGATACTCCTTGTCTGGAGCACAATAATCCGGCGCACACGAATCGCCGCAGGCCATATAAGCCCATGGAATCCGTGGAAGCCGGCGTAGTTAGTGAGACCTCACCAGCAGTAACGCAATTTGAAAGATGCTCTCCTCACAGAGGCAGTTTCTCCTCCCCATCCTGGGGCTCCTGGCCCTGGCCGGACCAGCCTTCGGTGGCGTCAAGGAGGTGCACGACGTCTACGAGCTCTCAGGTCAGCCTGCCATTCAGCCAAGGTTCTCCACGGATGTGGCCAACGGCAAGTACACTCCACCGGAAGAGATGGATCCCCAGTTCTGGTACTCACTTGCCGACGAGGAGATCACAAAGCGTCTTGCCCTGCCGCAACCCAGTTCCTTGAAGGCTAAGAATGTTATTATGTTCCTGGGCGACGGAATGCCCCTGGCCACCGTTGCAGCTGCTCGGATCCTGAAGGGACAGCGTCAGGGCAAGACTGGCGAGGAGTCCTCGCTGAGCTTTGAGAGGTTCCCCTACACGGGATTGAGCAGGGTGAGTTATAGCCCAACTTCAAGATTGCAGGTAGTGTTAAAAAAGTATAAAACTAATAGAAATCTTGTTTCTTTCCAGACCTACTGCTCTAATGCACAGGTGCCCGACTCCGCCTGCACGGCAACTGCCTATCTTTGCGGCGTAAAGACCAACATCATCAATATTGGAGTCAGTGCCGCCGTCAACTACAACAACTGTACCGCTAGCCAGGATCCAGCCAACCGCCTGACCTCCATCGCGGAGTGGGCCCAGAATGCCGGCAAATCCACTGGCATTGTTACCACCACCACCTTAACCCATGCCAGCCCATCGGGAGCCTATGCCAAGACCGCCAACCGAATGTGGGAGTGCGACTCGGATGTGACCAGCTACGGCGCGGACGCCAGCACCTGCATTGACATGGCCACCCAGCTGGTGACACAGACACCCGGCAAGAACTTCGAGATCATGTTTGGCGGCGGCATGGGCAAGTTCCTGCCCAAGTCCATCACGGATAGCCACGGAAAAGCCGGAGAGCGATCTGATGGTGTCAACCTGCTGGGCCGCTGGCAGGGACTACACGACGGCGGGGTTTTGGTCACCAACCGTGACCAGCTGCTCAGCGTAAACGTCTCGCGAGTGTCCAGCATCATTGGTCTCTTCCAGTCCAAGCTGATGAACTTCCACATGGACGCGGATGAAACCTATCAGCCCACCCTCTCCGAACTCACTGAGGTGGCCATCAAGAAGCTAAGCCAGAACGAGGAGGGATACTTTGTGTTCATTGAAGGTGGGTTGTCCAACAAAAGAGAGCAGGGTCATATAAATTTGTTGGGTGAATTAAAGCTTCATATATTATCAGCTTTATCATCATATAACATTTTATGGATGAGATTCTATTCTGGTTTTCTTAAACACCAATTTTAAAACACTTTTCTGGCACTTGGAGCATTTATATATTATATCTTTATTTTATTTACATTTCAGGTGGTCTCATTGACTATGGCAATCACTACACCCAACCGGGCTATGCTCTGGACGAGGCCCTGGAATTCGAGAAGGCCATTCAACTTGCCCGAGACCTCACCAACATCGAGGACACCTTGATTGTGGTGACCGCTGATCATGGCCACGCCGTTAGCATCGCTGGTTATCCTGGCCGTGGAACACCCATTCTGGGCATTAATCAGCACGACACCGATCTTAATGGAGTGAAGTATGCCGTGCTTAATTACGCAGCTGGTCCTAACCAGTATCTGGACGAGACCGGACAACGCCTTCCCCTAGAAGACATCTTGGTCTCCGACGACGCCATTGCGCCCAGCTACATTGCCAAGGAGCAAGGCGTGCACTCTGGTGAAGATGTGGGCATCTGGGCATCCGGACCTCAGAGTCACCTCTTCACCGGCGTGATGCAGCAGAGCACCATTCCCCATCTGATGGCCTATGCTTCCTGCATTGGCAGTGGGCAGAAGTTGTGCGATCGGGCGTGAGAGATTCATTGCCAGGGAAATCCAATTACAAGACTCAGGGAAAACCAAGCCAACCGATTATGATGACGATGTCTGGGTTACCTAGTATACGAGGCATATTTTGTTGTATTTTTCAACAAGACTCAGCATTTGAGTCTTTAATAAAAAATGTACTAAGCAATTTAAAATCACCATGTGTTTATTGTTTATTTGGGGCTATGCTTTTTATGCTCGGAAAATTTTTAAGAATATAAGTTGAGACTTTAAAAGTTTACTGATAACATAATTAGTGTGTAAGCCTTGATTTACTGATAAAATATAGTTTTTCTGTTCATATAAAGCTGCTTTAAAAGTTTACTGAAAACATAATTAATGCGTAAGCCTTGATTTACTGATAAAATATAGTTTTTCCGTTCATATAAAGCTGTTAATAAAATGACCTAATATATTTATACCCTTGCAGGGTATTATAATTTCAGTCAGAAGTTTGCAACGCAGTGAAGGACACGTTTCCGACCCTATAAAGTATATATATTCTTGATCAGCATCAACAGGGGAATGTTTCTAGACATGTCCGATTTTTTGGCCATTTTTGCAAAATTTTATAAGGGGTTACATCATTAAAATTTTTGATTTTGATAAAAAATTGAATTTTCAAAATTTTTAAATGAAGTATGCAGATTTATTAACTGTAGAAAATCTTGCACAGAACAGTTTTCCGATTTAAAATTAATGCTCTTTTGGCCGAGTTATGATATTTTTAATTTTAAAATAATCAAGAAGTTTTTCAATATAAACAAGAAAGGAAGCTAAGTTCGACACGCCGAAGTTTGTATACCCTTGCAGATTGCAATTGGATCACTATCGAGCCATTCTGGTTAAATAATTGAAATAATTCGAATTGAATTTCATGCATTTTTGACAGAGTTGTGAACCTTTGAAAATGAGTTTCTTGCTCATTTTTGATTAAACAATTATTTAAAAATAACAGGTAAGTATTAAAGCAAAACTAAGTAGGCAATTTTGTTAGGCTTAGAATAACCAACTTAGAACAACTTTCCGAAATGAATTTCATGCATTTTTGACTGAGTTATGAACCTTTGAAAATTAGTTATTTTCCCCAAAAATAAATCGCACCATTTTTGCAAAAATATGTAAGTACCATCATTAAAATTCTAAAAAATTGAGAAAAAATGAAATTGAAAAGAACCCTAAACGTAGTATGCAGTTTTGTTACTCTTAGAAAAGGCAATTCTGAACAGCTTTCCGAATTGAATTTCATGCACTTTTGGCTGAGTTATGAACCTGAAATTAGTTTTGTTTCTGAAAAATTATCAAAATAAATCGCACCCTTTTTTTAAATTTAATTGCAGCAAGCTGCCAGGAACTGAAAGCGGGTGCCGAAGGCGAGACAGAGAGCGTTGGCAAGGAGGATCAGGACGACGAGGAGCAGAAGTGGACCAAGTGCCACCAAGACCGAGTCGAAACCACTGGGAACGACCTCCGACATTCCTACATGCCTCACCTTTTCTTCTTTTATTTATTTAAAGCCGAAATAAATAATAAACCTTACAAAATTTGTTATTTTTGAGTTATGAGAGGAGGATGCGGTTTTTTTTTTTTGTTGGAATATTTTAAACAGGCTCAATGGAAGGGCATTCTTGCGGTGGACAATGAAAGAAACATCAAAGCAAAATAGCTAGATGAGCTAACTGACAGTTAGTAAGATGCCATTTTGTCCCAATAATGCAAAATAGCTAGATGAGCATCACTGGCAGTTAGTGAGATGCCATTTTGTTCTAATACGGCAAAATAGCTAGATGAGCATCACTGGCAGTTAGTGAGATGCCATTTTGTCCCAATAATGCAAAATAGCTAGATGAGCATCACTGGCAGTTAGTGAGATGCCATTTTGTCCCAATAATGCAAAATAGCTAGATGAGCAGCACTGGCAGTTAGTGAGATGCCTTTTTGTCCCAATAATGCAAAATAGCTAGATGAGCATCACTGGCAGTTAGTGAGATGCCATTTTGTCCCATTAATGCTAAATAGCTAGATGAGCATCACTGGCAGTTAGTGAGATTCCATTTTGTCCCAATAATGCAAAATAGCTAGATGAGCATCACTGGCAGTTAGTGAGATGCCATTTTGTCCCATTAATGCTAAATAGCTAGACGAGCATCACTGGCAGTTAGTGAGATTCCATTTTGTCCCAATAATGCAAAATAGCTAGATGAGCATCACTGGCAGTTAGTGAGATGCCTTTTTGTCCCAATAATGCAAAATAGCTAGATGAGCATCACTGGCAGTTAGTGAGATGCCATTTTGTCCCATTAATGCTAAATAGCTAGATGAGCATCACTGGCAGTTAGTGAGATTCCATTTTGTCCCAATAATGCAAAATAGCTAGATGAGCATCACTGGCAGTTAGTGAGATGCCTTTTTGTCCCAATAATGCAAAATAGCTAGATGAGCATCACTGGCAGTTAGTGAGATGCCTTTTTGTCCCAATAATGCAAAATAGCTAGATGAGCATCACTGGCAGTTAGTGAGATGCCATTTTTTCCCAATAATGCAAAATAGCTAGATGAGCATCACTGGCAGTTAGTGAGATGCCATTTTGTCCCAATAATGCAAAATAGCTAGATGAGCATCACTGGCAGTTAGTAATATGCCATTTTGTCCCAATAATGCAAAATAGCTAGATGAGCATCACTGGCAGTTAGTGAGATGCCATTTTGTCCCAATAATGCAAAATAGCTAGATGAGCATCACTGGTAGTTAGTAAGATGCCATTTTGTCCCAATAATGCAAAATAGCTAGATGAGCATCACTGGCAGTTAGTAAGATGCCATTTTGTCCCAATAATGCAAAATAGCTAGATGAGCATCACTGGCAGTTAGTGAGATGCCATTTTGTCCCAATAATGCAAAATAGCTAGATGAGCATCACTGGTAGTTAGTAAGATGCCATTTTGTCCCAATAATGCAAAATAGCTAGATGAGCATCACTGGCAGTTAGAGAGATGCATTTTGTCCAAATAGAGCATCACTGATGCAGATGAGCATCACTGATGCAGATGAGCATCACTGATGCAATTGAGCAAAACTTTTTATTCAAATTGGCCGCTTTCCAAACTGGGGTAACAGGCGAACAGAAACCAGCAGCAAGCAACTGAAAACTGGTATAAACTGTTATAAAAACACTTGGGCAAAAATAATAATTGATATAAACTGTTATATTTCATTTTATACATTTATACCTATTTGTTGCCGCCAACAACAGCTTATGGCAACAACAACCTTTTTACAACAACATCCCTACAGCAACCCATCCAAATTTCCGAACATTTCCAAGCAAATTGCCCGTTTCCCAAATTGGGGTAACAGGCGAACAGAAATCAGCAGCAAACAGCTGAAAACTGGTATAAACTGTTATAAAAAGTCCAAGTTTCAAACCATTTAGGAGCCGGCGCAAGTTAGCGGAGACTCAAACCTTTTGAATCCAAATTTAGGTGTTATTTTACAACTGCACCTGAGCACACTGAAAGCGAAGACTCAAACCAGATGTGACCATATTGTAAATTTTTTGGCTTAAATGTTGCTTAAATGCACCTGGGCACACTGAAACTGATCGACGTTAAATTCAAATTTGGCAGTTAAATTCAAACTCAAATTTGGCAGTTAAAATATTAAAAAAAAATTTTTTTAATTCTAAAAAATTGTTAATTTAAAAAAAAATCAAGAAGTTTTTTAATATAATAAATCCGATTTTATAATACAAAATAATATTTTTCTAAGTCAAGGAATCATTTCCGACCCCATAAACCATATATAATCTTGATCAGCATCAACAGGGAATCTTTCTAGATATGTCCGGAAGAAATCGATTTTTTGGCCATTTTTGCGAAATTTCATAAGGGGTTACATCATTAAAATTAGCAAAAATGGCCAAAAATTTTGATTTCTTAAAATTTTAAATTTGGTATGCAGTTTTTTAAAATTAATAAAAACTAACACAAAACTGTTTTCCGAATCGAAATTAATGGCTTATTTATGATATATTTTAATTGTTACCTGCAAGGGTATACAAACTGTGGCTGGCCAAAGTTAGCTTTCTTTCTTGTTTAGTTTACATTTTAATTATGTGAGGCTAAATTAAAAGGTTTCTGAAGCAATTCTGTGGTATCCGTAGACTGGCATGGGGTCTATGGATGGGATCTATGGATAGCACACATTTGATTATAAAACACCACTTTACCATATAGTACATATTTAATAATCTTTAAAGATACTTCGAATTAAATAGTTAAAATTCATAAATATTTAACAAATTTAAATATATAAATCTGACTTTAAATTTCAATTATGTGAGAATAATTTAAAAGGTTTCTGGGGCATACATAAAATACAATTTTACGACTTTTGGTCAGGAATATCTTATTAATTTTGTAAATTATTTCGCATAAAAATAAATTATGACTTCTGGCTCGTTTCTCATGTAATTTTACTGACACTTCTCCTGTTTTTTGGGCAATAGTTTTAAAGCCTCTTATGTTACTAGATGCCAGATCTTCTTAAACAATATAAGATATATCATTGCTCTGATGAATTGTATAATACATTTCACTGGCAATAGGCCCCAGTGCCAGTCCCAGCCCCAATGTCTCCTATCACCGAGGAGCCTTAATTGGTGTCACGTCAGTGTGGCTCTTTACCCAAGATATAATATCTATATCTTTTACTGGTCATGCTTATGGTTGCGAACTCATGTGGAATTTAGCACCTACCACCCCTGATATAACCTTGGTAGTGTGGGGTGGGGGGTCAGGTGCCGCGGTTCGCAATTTTGGGGTGCCGTGCCCACCGGAGCCCGAAGCGTGTTCGTTTATCGCTCCAGCTAGCTTTTAATTGGTCCAGGTCCTCGGATTGGTAGCCAGGCCTTTTGTCCCGAAAGATCCCCCATATAATCATAAAGCCTAATGGCCAAAAGACTGGGCAAATACCAGGCTATAAACCGAACATTTTGGAAGACGCTTGAGTTAGAGGATTATGACATGAAGATATGACAAGCCAGATAAGACCGCCCAAAGCGGTTAATAAAAGGCAGTGGGAAGAGGCTAGAAATCAGTTCAATTGTCAACGCCAAGCGAACTATACACCTAACCAAAATGACGAGATTCGTCGGGATTATCGTGGTGCTAAGCGCTTTGGTGGCCGTCTCCTTGGCTGCATCTCTGGACAGTGAGTGGTGTTACGGTTTGACAAAAAAATGATCAATAATCTCAAAGGAATCGTTGCCATTTCCAGTGTCCGAGATTCACAACCAGCGGCAGTTTGTTGGAGGCTCGGAGACAGTCTCAAAGACCCGTGAATCAAACCTCATCGATCCCAATGCCATGGGCAAGGGCAAGACCGGACCCGAGGAGGAGAAGAACGCCCAGTTCTGGTATGACCTGGCCCACGAGGAGATTGCCAGGAAACTAGAGCAGCCGCAAGTCGATAAGAGGAAGGCCAAGAACATAATCATGTTCCTCGGTGATGGCATGTCCTTGTCCACAGTGGCCGCTGCCCGTATTCATAAAGGTCAGCTAAAGGGCAACCCAGGCGAGGAGGACTCTCTTAGTTTCGAAAAGTTTCCGTACACCGGTCTGAGCAGGGTGAGTGGAAAAATATAATTTCATTTTAGATTAATTAAATTGATTAATTGAAATCTAAACTTAAAAATGGTTATAACAGGAGTGTTTCTTAATGCCTCCAAAATAAAGCTAGAAACTTTAGTCTCCAACTTCGATTCCTGTACTAAAATCTACTATCTTTTATCTTCTTTCCAGACCTACTGCTCAAACGCCCAGGTGCCCGACTCCGCCTGCACGGCCACCGCCTATCTTTGCGGCGTCAAGACCAACATTGTGGCCCTTGGAGTTACTGCCGCTGTTAACTTTAACAACTGCAGTGGCAGCGAGGATCCCGCCAACCGCCTGACCTCTATTGCTGAGTGGGCTCAGAATGCTGGCAAATCCACAGGTATTGTGACTACTACCACTTTGACCCATGCCAGTCCTTCGGGTGCCTATGCCAAGACGACCAATCGATTCTTTGAGAGCGACACGGACATTGTGACCTACGGCGAGGGACAGAACGATCCGGCTACCTGCACGGATATCGCCACTCAGCTGATCACTCAGACTCCCGGCAAGAACTTCGATGTGATGCTGGGCGGCGGCATTGGCAAGTTCCTGCCCAACACCATCACGGATCCGTTCAACAAGAAGGGCGAGCGCTCCGACGGCGTGAACCTGCTGTCCCGCTGGCAGGGCATGCATCCCGGCGGTGTTCTGGCCTATAACCGCGACCAGCTGCTGAGCGTGAACGCCTCGAAGATCACCAACTTGATCGGTACCTTCCGCTCGGGCGTAATGAGCTTCCACAAAATGGCCGACGCCAAGGAAGAGCCCACTCTGAAGGAGATGACTCGCAAGGCCATCGAGATGGTTAGCAAGAACCCCAGCGGTTATTTCCTGTTCGTCGAGGGCGGCCTCATCGACTACGGAAACCATTATAACTCCCCGACCTATTCGCTGGACGAAACTCTGCAGTTCGAGGAGGCGATCCAGGAGGCTGTTGGCATGACCAACCCAGAGGAGACCCTGATCGTGGTTACTTCCGACCACGCCCATCCGTTGACCATCTCTGGTTATCCCGGCAGGGGCACGCCCATTCTGGGACTCAACCAGGACGACACTGATGTGAACGGGGTCAAGTACGCCACTCTGAACTACGCTGTGGGTCTGGAACAGTACCTGGACGAGAATGGCCAGCGTTACGATCTCTCTGATAAAATTGGAAAGGAGGGTGAGTGATAGCTGTTCTAATAATATAAATTATTATTATTCCTTTTTTCTTCCAGACTTTATTCATCCCAGCTACATTCGTGGCGTTATCGGCGTACATGCTGGCGACGATGTGGGTGTCTTTGCCACCGGCCCTCAGAGCCATCTCTTCAGCGGAGTTGTCCAGCAGAGCACCATTCCCCACATGATGGCCTATGCAGGCTGCATTGGCGATGGCCCCACTCTATGCAACACTCAGGAATAGTCAGACGTGTTCCATTCGTCAGAATGGTTCTAAAATATAGAGTATTTCAAAAGCACTTGCGGTTTTGACTTTGGTTCTTGGGGGGCACTTTCGCGAAATCAATAATCAAATTGACTCTACTCCCATAATTTATTGCATCTGTCCAGTTTGACTGTCTGCCGAATTGACTTCAATTAAAAACGCATCAGCCAGACACAGCGTCGAAGTCGCACTTGCAGATACAGATACAGATACAGATACGGAGACAGATACAGATACAAAGGCAGATACATATACGATTTGTTGAGCGATCGCAACGATTTGTTGCCAGCAGAGAGCTGTCAGTGGGAGAATAAATATGAATTCGCTGAATGTCAGGTTCAAGCGCTGGCATTGCCAGTAGATGGGGATATATCGGATCGGCAATCGGCATATAGACACCCACACGCATGTGGAGCAGCTCCTTCACTCGCACTCGCACTGGCCGACTTTGACTTGCAATTGTTTTGCTTGTCGTTACTCATTCCACAGAATTTATTTAAATGCGCTTGACATGAAGGCGCAGCATCGAAACAATTAAGCTAAATATTTATTCGCTGCTTAAGCAATTAAGGATTGTATTGCCAAGGCAGTGTCCTTGCCCCAGCCACATTGACAACTTCATAACTCTCTCAGCAGGCACAACAAAGAAACGTCGGATTCGACATATGAAATTAATATTTAATTTATACAATAAAGAATAATGAACAATATGATTGTTTACCTAAAAGTCAGACTATAACCTTTACTTTTTTAAGGAAATATAAAGAAGAAAAGAACAGTTTACTCTGATTCACTTTGTTTGTATTAATGCTAGATTAAAAATAGATTTTTGAAATACTCTTAAAAAATTTCCTATAATTTTCTATGCTATTTTAAATCCTAAAGTCAGCTAGACTCCAAATTAATTCCATAGAAATTCACAGTAGGTACATTGTTATGAGATCAACTTAGGGGAGTTGAGTTCGGCTCGTGCCTTGACTTGGCTTCCTTTGAATCTATTTTTACAGCTCTTTTTCGCTCAAAAACTTCCCGAAAAATTTGCTTGTTTTGCAGCGTTTTGTTGGCTCAGCGGAAAGTGGAAGCAGTCGGAGGTTTGTTGCGCTCGCTTGTCGGCTTCGTTTCGCGATCCTAAAATCGCAGCCAGCTGCTAAGCGCTAACAGCTCGCTCTGTTAACTTGGCCGAGTCTCAGTCGCAGTCTGAGTTCCAAATCTGTCGCGACAGCCAACGCGTGTGCGGATCAGATCAGTCTTTGGGCCAACTTGACGCTAATTTCTGCTGACTGGGAACTGCTAACTGCTAACTGCTAAGTGCAAATCTCATCCCGAAGTGCGCGCGTGTGTTTATCTTTGTATCTCAACGCGAATTGGGGGCCGTGATTAGCCCACTGGATTGCCAGTGACAGGTGAGAATGCCGATTAGATAACCACGTACCATATCCATATCCAAATCCAGTTCGAACTGCAGTGTTGAAATGGTAATTGAATGCGTGGCCTGGCGGGAAATGAGTATCAGATGGATTTGCGGTTAACGAGTGCGCCCACAAACGAAAACAAGTGGAAGCCACACCGACGGCTATCAGGGTTCGCACTTGCTAATTTATCAGAAGAGTAAACAGCCAATTACAGGCTTATGTCTAAGACTTTTCACTATATCCCCCTAGATTACGGCCTCAAATATTTGGCCTAGTGTTGGGGCATTTACTTTAAGCTCTACTCAGATAAAAGGCTGTCAAAGGTAATCCTCCAGCTTTGCGGAAATTCGGGCAAACATTTATCAGAGATCTTTTGCGAAAACTTGCATTTTTCATAAAGACGCACTAGAAAGTCTAGAGGAGATGGCTGTGCTAGTTTGGGCCAAGATCAGGTCTGGCCAAAAGCGCTGCCGGCAGTTCGTGGGTGCAGCCGAGAAGATGCAGATGCAGATGCCTTCACCAGATACAGATGGTCTAGTCACGGCAACCCCTCCGACACGATGCATTTCACCCAAAAAGCAAGCAAAAATAAAAATGTAAAAAAGGAAAAAAGAAGCCAACACGAATGCAATCGATCACTGCACGAGTATCCGTAACCAAATAGACAACCTGGGGATTGCGTCTTATTTTCCATCTGCTGCAGCTGGCATTCCTCCGGCGGTGTTTACTTTCGGCATTAGCTTTAGCTACCGACAGGGGAACATGTTATTCTCGTTCTCGTGCTCATTCTGTATATTTTGCTCCACTGACCGTGAACTTGACCAAATGGATTTCCACACAAGCCTAGGCAATGCACTCTCCTTTGATTTTGGCTATAACCCCTGAAAGGGGTCAACTATTACAACGCAAAAGGTTTACTAATAGATAAATATATATGCAAATTTGATTAAGCCTAAGGTTAACCAGAATGCGGACAGGAAGCGCCATTTAAAGGGGAAGTCGAGCAATCTGTAACGAAGCACTCAGACACAGAGCCAGACCCAGAAACAGAACCAGAGTATTCGAATCTCCGCTAATCCCATAAATTTGTTAGTTCTCATCTTTTCAAACACGCAATCCGGTCCAGTTCCGGCACCTCCTCCTCCCAAAAGCCGAAAGCCAAACAAAAACAAAGACTCACACACACACACACACACCTGACGAAGGTGAGTGAGTGGTTGAGTGAATGAGCGTGTCATGGAGCTACTGGTCTTGTCCAGGTGATGTCATGTCTATCTCTGGTGGCGGGATGGTTGTGTAGCACACAGGGCGGCAACTTCATTTTCAGACTTTAGCTCCTAAGGTAATGCCTCCCCTGCTTTACTTTCGATCGCTCGGCCGTCGATCTAATTTGCATTTACATAATTTTCAGAGACGACTGGCTAAGTATCTCCCACAACCCTCGGCCCTGTTTGATTACCTACGATATTTGCATAATCAATGAATCGAACCGCTCAGTTGTCTCAGATTCGAGCTGATCATTTGCATACGACGAAATTAAGTGGCTGGGAAGTATTAGCCGGTGTCTACTGTACGGGGGAACGTGACGCTGTCATTAGGCAAAGCGCCATTTAAATGGATTGGCCTGGGTAACAACAAAACTCGAAAAGCGGCAATTAAAATGTAAATTGCATCACAAGCAGTTTACATTCTGCCGTCAATTGCTCCGTCATCGTTCTGATATATGGCGCATACGCACTGTTGGCCAAGTGGTTAAGGTTATTTTTATATGTAGAATGCACATTTATTTATTCGCAATTGACACGCTTCGGGCTTAGATATCGCCTGGCAACGATCTCTGCATATTTTTGTAATTGATTCGAATGGTTATTACGGGGTATTACGATTATTACAATGTGGTTGGTTATGACTCGCCGCGGGGCACGGCACACCCACGCCTCCTGGCACACCGCGGCAATCAACTCTGACCTTTTGGCAGGTGATGAATGCACTTTTTTAATCGCCATTTAATGGGAAATACGATCCGTTGCGATGTCACAGTGGCACTGCCATCGATTTTGATTTATGGCGCGCGGCTATCGTTGGCTATTGGTGGCTTCCAATTCAATCAGTCAGCGATTCAATGGCGCTAAATGGAAAATGCACTTAGCTGTCATCGGCTTGACAAATGACGTCACCATTGCCGATTATCATACGCTCCATTGCCAAAGTTGAGTGCAGTGCAAATACGGATCTATCTGTGACGTCGCAGACAGCAGCTCCAGTGGAGCTATTTGCTTTTCCCATTCGGCCAAACCTGGTCACTGCCACGATATTTAGACTTACATACATCTTGTATTTATTTGTGGCCCATTAGCAGTTCACACCTCAGCAGAGCAGAGCGCGCTAAAGTGGCGCCCTGCGATCGCTGCTGCCTGTTGTCACTTTCAATTATGCAACGAATGCTAATTGAACTTGGCCAAAGTGAAACGCCCGAGTCCAGAAAGTGACAGCCCGACAGGTCGATACGAATAGATAGAGCGGATAAAGCCATAAAAGTTCATGAATGAATCGCAGTGAGTTGACGTAGGCAAAAAGTGGAAATTGCTTATCAAAGAGACACTATAAACTGAGACTCTGTTTACGTCCAAAGTTCAGCACTTTGGTAAGACGACTTGTTATACTTTTTAGGTTTGTTTTTATAGCTTAACTTTAAACATTGAATATAATTTCATTTTCTTAAGAGAATTCCCCCTCCCAAGTAATTTATTTACTAAATATAATATATTCTTCAGGGGCTTTTAGGAATCATATTTCCTGGAGAGACTTTCCTTTTGAATTTCTTAAATATTTTACAGTTTAATTAAAACAAATTTCTTGTCCAGCAAATTAAGGGCTTTAATGTACCCTCCATCTATGAAACATTTAACCCAGGGACTCTTCATTAAATCAACCATTCTGGTTATTGGAATTTACATTTTTCGCCTGCCAATTAATTTATGAGACACTTAGTTTAGGTGCGCTTCTCCCCCGTTTGTTGGTTTTTTTTTGGGGCACTGCCTTAATTTCTATTTGAAGAGCAATTAATTTATGATGACATATCACCCATTAACATCACACAAAGTTTTTGGGCTTACTGCGCAAAATAATGGAAACGAAACCCAACTATGAATACAACAATATAACAATTGCGGCGACATTGTTGAGCGGTGGCGAACCGTCAAAGAGGTGGATCGTGGCTCCGACTTTCGATGGGGGCACGTCATATCTATATCTATTTCTATATGCAAGCTTGTAGCTGAATGGCATCGCAATGAATCAGTATTTGGCCAATATACAAGGCACATTAAGTCCGCTGAGCGAGTGCCCCGTCATCGCGCCGTGCAGACGTTGACACTGACTGACTGAGTGTCACTGACATTGGATGAGGCCGCAATAAAATCGTAGCTGCGAATCAACATACCATGTATCTGGCGGATACAGCATGTATTTGTATCTGTATCTGTATCCATCGCACGCCAAATGATTCGCACTTGGCATTGACAATGACTTTCTGGCAGAAACATCCCGCGAAAGCGACAATTGTCGCAGCACGAACAAAAACCGAACGCTGTTTGGGTTAAGGGCGACTCT